TATTGATTATTTAACATGCGTGACTCCTATGATTCTACTATGATTGTTTAAATATGCATGTAACTTCATGCTTTTCGTGTTGTAGTTGAACTATGTATGTCTGAAGAAGTCTGACCTTGGTCAGACGAAACGTTACAGAAATATATTTGTGTTAGTGTGCAGCAAGACTCTTGAATCACTTAGAATATTTAATTAATATTGTGATTTTTAATCTTCTATTGATTCGTGTAAAGCCTACCGTATTGGTCTAATAACCAAACTTGGTGAAAGGTCCTCTGCCCATTTTGGGTCTTAACGACTGGAGGTTCGTTAAGTCTATGACCTCATAACGGCGACCAACGTAATAACGGAGCAGTTTCATAGCACATAGTGCGGTACCTGATTGAGAACTTCGTGGTTCGAACGGTTCGTAATTTGACAGTAGCCATATAATTTAGCGATGTTTGATAATAAAATGGTGGCAAACAAGTCTACTTCGCCTTGCAGAAACTTAAATATAACGGCGTTTAACACGTATGATATCAAAAAGAGAGCAGCAAATTTCTCATTGAATCGGATTGTCTACTTTTGGTCGTAATTGCATTCTTTCGATTATACTTTGTGTTCATGACATTTTTGGTTAATTCTGCAGGTCCGCCGGTCTGCAAAATTTGTTTTGAAATTTTACCGGTCCGCGAACTGAAAAAGGTTGAGAACCACTGCACTACACAACAATTGAAGACTGAAACATATTTTTCTCGCACCTCTCGAAATGTTTATAGAAAATACCCATCATTACAATACAGACTGGAGATCACAGACTGGAGGTCATAGACTGAGGTCATAAACTGAAACCAGAATCACGGAGAGAAGTAAAATCAAGATTTAGTGAATGCAACAGGAAATCATGCACCACGTGTAAGCATTTTGAAGAAAAAAAACATGTCCCAAAACACAAAAGTTCGGGTGTCTCCAAAATGTCGTGTCCCACTTGTAACACGTGTCCCATTAAATAATTATAAAAAATGTTTCTTAATTCAATTTTTTTAATTGAAATACATACAAAGATATACCGATACCGCTTTTATCACCGGTATCGGTTCCGATCCGACACGGCTATATATGATAGGATAGGATTTACATATTTATCCCGGGGAGAGGAAAGCCGATAAGACGGCTTAATCATATGGCGAACCACTGCCTCTCGTCCGGTTACCAGTCCAGGTTGAGTATGGGATTAGTTAGCCAGTTATTTGTTTTTTTGGAAGCATGGACTTGGTGGTGGAGGAAGCCGTAACCGACCAGCGGTCACGTGAACCACCCGGTATTTCGGTACTGATAACCGCATGTCATAACATCAATAACCAAATTTTTTTCTGCTTGCTACTACGAGGAAGCCTATGTTGAATGAAAGTGCGACACGCGGTTTTACTCAGTTATCTTTATCTGGCCCTTCTGTATTAAAGGTTGCATACCCTTGGTTTAAACTACTTAAATCAGGGTGGTCCAAGGTTGCGAGGTTGGAAGGCCGCAAAAAATTTTGAGGAGGTCTCTCGGGCCGCAGTCGGAGTAAACCCAATAGTGATCAAAATCTCGCGAGTTCACTCACTTAAAATGAGAGTTTATCGTTCTAATCAGTTTTTCAACTATATAAAGACTTTAGTTATTTTAAAATTGCTTTCCGTGAAATATCGTGGTATTTTCGGCATCTTTTCTCTACACTTATTGCATGACAAATTTATTACTTGTAGCGGGAGCTGGCCGTCAAAAAACAACCAAGTCCGTCTAAGTTGGGACCTCGGACCAAGTTAAAAAAAAAAACTGGATCGCGCGGCCCTAAATCAGCTCCGCGGTTCGTCATTGCTGTCACGTGGCCAACAATTGAAACTATAGAGGAGTGTTTTGACTACTATGAAGGCACAAAACGTCTCTCCAAATGAGGAGTTATTTGACGTGGGCTCATCTCATCGGCTAGGTCCTGCCTGACAAGACAATTCATTCTCTTTTTACCGATCACAGTACGTCATTCCCATATATATACATATAGCTACAAACATCAATCCTGACATCGGGATTAGGAAAAGGACTATATTTCCAGTTGGAATCGTTTAAAAATAAATCAAAATTGTTCTGCTAATAAATACAAATATCTGCCAATGATTTAGTAGTGTACGCTAACATTGTTCTGCGGGTCGCACGGAATGTGTCGGTTGCACTTAAATCGATTGCACCGTAAATTGCTTTGCAATCTAGTAATGTTTCGCCACAACACTTTTTCATTTGAACAAATTATGGTAGTTTCTGCAGTCGTGTTGTTGCGCACAAGCACAGGGCTTGTGGATTGTGACGTCTCACCTAAATGTAGTGTTTAGTAATCGTCATACACATCGCCGTACAAGTTTTAAGAAATTTAAGAATAGCGATATTTAAATTGCGCGTGTTTAGATAGAGCAAGTTAGGTTAGATCAGGCGGGCAACCCTTGGCGTAAATAGTATTTTCCTGAATAAAAATAGCCAATAATTGTCGAATTCTTCGATATAAGAAGCTGAAGCGCTGCTGCAAGGTAGTTTTCTTTGACGAAGAAATTTTGGCGAGCGTACTTCTGCAGTAAAATGTGAGATTCTGAACTCTAATATCCAATTAACCACCATTTGTGTATAAAGAGATTCTTAATAGTTAAATATGTTTGAAATATTAATTTCTGATTTAGATGATATATATATATATATATATATATATATATATATTATATATATATATATATATATACGAAAATAATTAATAGTTTTTTTAAGTAAATAGTGAGACTAAATTACGCGAATGACTATGGTGGATTGAACTTTATATGAATGAAACCAGTGAATCTATTTTTGGAAAAACTCGAGAATCGACAATATTTTTTATTATTGATGAAGATAATGAATACTTTTTATGAGTACAGTTCCCCGATGTGAATACACGTCATATCAACACTCTAAAAGAGTTTGTCAACACCAAGATTTTACCATGTGTCTAGGCTAGACCCTAGACTTTGGACCAACTCTGAGTAACTAGTAAACTAAGTAACTAGTAAACTAAACAATAGTCGAGTACGTTTACTAAGAACACTGATCTGATTACATAACGAAATTCCCCACAGATAAACCTTTCGGACTTAGCGTAAGATTAAATATTTGAAACTCTAACAACATGTATGCTTGTATTGTGCGATGTCGTGTTTCCTTTTTACATCGAAAATCAGATTGTTAACCTCGAGAAGTTACGCATACTTTTCTATAGTAGAAACATATGGTTGGGCCGGTTAAATGTATACAGATTTTAGATAATATGATCAACAAATGACCTGTTATCGATTATCACAGATACTTGAGAACCAAAAATAGTCTATATTAGACAATTAGACAAGACAACACCGCTCAACATTATTGTGTTTGGTGAAAGACCTAAATTTTGGGACTCAACACAATCTGAAACTGATTCAACCACAAACTTATCTTTCAATTTATAATTGTAAATTTATCTGGTGCCTTAGTCTTCAAATTGTTTCAAATTAAATATTTATGATGTTTAGTAAAGTTTGGTATAATTGGAAATGACAGATAAATATGAGATGTGAGTTGCAAAAGTAATGCAGACTTAAACCGATGACTCTATTCTGTGTTTATTGAAATTCACATAGATTGCAATACATTGTCAATTTTCATTCAGGCTATAAACACTTCAATATTATTAATAACACACACCTACATATTCTTTATTGGCGGTGAATATATTGTGAAGGTCGTATCATCAAATTTACTGCCAAATGGCAGGCCCCATAGCCTCCTTTAGAAAAGCTATTTGAAAAGAGGTTGTGTGAGGAGCTCTCCAGGATAAAAAGTTGATACAAAGAACTACTTAACTCAACTGTAATATATATATTATATATATGATTCCTCATTTGATCAGACACTACTCTTGACGTTACCTTTCTTTGCAGATTCATCGATTACGAATAATTTGAATCGTTTGTCTAGTTGACATTAAATTTTTTTTCTCCATTTTCATAAATGTTTTCGAGCTGATTATTATTTTGACCCAATTTGTTAATTTTTATTATATCACGTTATGTAATGTGCCCTTTTTACAATATTTTTTAAATAATTATTTTAATTGTTTTATTGCAATCATTTAAAAACAAACTTCCTTTGCTTGTAATAGAAATAGGTGTGCTGGAGGTATTTTCGTGACCTTATCGCTTCTAACTGCATGCAATTAACATAGGTCATTTAAAATAGCATAGTTGGCATTAAGTTGATCTTACGGCGTTACTGTAATTTGGACGCAAAATTCAAATAACTTAACATTCATTCTATATAAAGAAAGTAACATAGCAAATTATACATTCATAATGTTTGCAAGTTTGCGTCTTAGTTTTCTATTTGTGAAAGCTGAATCACTGTGAGAATTTAAATATACATGTAAAACAGCAATATTTCATCTAATTTACAGGAATTTCATGTTTTCTTAAACAATTTTATCGAAAGAATTGTATTTTATACACATTTCTCGTAATAGCATAGTTGTTAGTTTACGCCGAATTTGTTCTGCGTTAACTTACTTTAACTATTAGTTTAAATTGAACGTCGTCGGAAAAATGGTGTAACGGTAAGATATGATAGAAATTTCTAAACTTGTAATACTCTTTCATGGAATTTGCATTTGAAGTATGTATGGAAGAATACGGAAACAATTCTTAAGAAGGCAGTAAGAACCATAAGAAAGTTGAGGCTGAAGAATTGGCTACTGTACTAACCGACATATTCGATACTACGTAGTCTCGGCATAAACTGCGTTAGACCGACTATCATTTTTTACCTAGTGAGCGTAATTTTCCATTGGTACATTATGTAAAATGATAATGGTTCAACATTGTTAAATCAAATATGAAAGAGCTTAACACAATTAACTTTTGTTTTTTGACCTTTTTTATTTTAGTAAATAGACTAAACAATATACAATTGATGAAGTTTAAATTTATGATTGAAAAGTTGAAGTTAATATTGAACGTCAATTCAAAAAAAAAAGACAAAATGGCATGGGAAGGATTTGAATGGAAAAATAGAATTTCTGGAATCAAATCAGACGAAGATGATCCCGGTGAAGAATTAACAGAAAAAGACAAAGAAAACTTATTAAAATTTATTGAAAAAGATATAATCGGACGTGATGCAATTTTTGATGAACCTTTTGGACCTCGAAAAGTTCTTTATTGCGACTACGTGGCCTCTGGCAAAGCTTTACACTCAATCGAAAATTTCATGATGAAGCAAGTTTTACCAATGTACGCAAATACTCATACCACTACAACAGTGACGTCATCACAAACAATTTTATTCAGAAAAGAAGCAAAGTAAGAAATCATTTTATATAATCAAATATCGACACTCTGCAAATTAATATTTTCACAAAATTGAAAACAATAACGGATAGACGCAAAAAAATATATTATTATGTGAACATTTCTCTCTTCGTGGGTATCTAGTTAGTTCAATTTTGGACCACCCACTGGAAATTTCCATTTTTATGTTGAAAATTCCAGTCTTATATGTTCGTTAAAAAGCCGATGTGAAAAAATCAGTTCAAATTTTACATAAATCTATACTATCAGGAATATTACTATAAGTCATTTTAGGACTCAGCTTTATTCTTCATTCACGTCGAAAAAGAATTTCTTCGTAATTTGACCAAATATTTTCGAAGCATAAATATTGGGAAATGACATCAAAACCTAAATTTATTTTATTTCGCAGATTTCTTGCAACAGACAGAAAAATATTGTAATTTTTTGTGGATTACATTTACGGGATTATACTATGAACACGTTTTTGTTTCACGATATTCTCTTAATAACCAGTTTATTTTCATTATAATTGAAATCACAAATCCTCATTTTCACAGGGAAATTATCCGCGACGCTCTTGGGGCAGACGACGATGACGTTGTGATATTTGCTGGAAGTGGCGTAACCGGTGCTGTACATAAACTCATTTCTGTTTTGGATTTACCTAAACCTCCGGTTGTTTTCTGTGGCCCATTTGAACATCATTCTAACTTGTTGCCATGGCGAGAAATGAATAGTCAAGTAAGTGGATAGAATGTTAATATTATTATTGAGTGAGGATGGAAATAATTTACCTACATTAATGCATTCATAGCTGAAGATATTAGATACATTGTGATTTTGCCTCAGGATGTTCTGTAAGGAAGGATACAGCAACACATGATTCATTCATTGTCTGTTTAGGTTGTCAACATAAGCAAATCAGCTGACGGTAGAATAAACCTGTGACATTTAGAGATTGCTTTGCGAGCCTGGGCAAACTCCGGAAGACCGCTGATAGGAACTTTTAGTGCCGCCTCGAATATCACTGGTAAGCATATTCAAACGTGATATTATATTGATAGCTAAAGATCTGTAAAAGGAAATAACACGGTGAATTGAAATATCACATTTTCATATTATTTCACCGTCAAAATCATTCGACTGTCAACTGACTGCTTGGAATGGAATGAGATGAATATATATCCATTGAATACATTCATTCTTTCCCAGAATGTCAGCAAGTACACTGTAAAGACTAGATGGTGTTATAAAGTATATTATATACCAGGGGTGGGCAAGATTTGTGGATCGAGGGACAAAAATTTCGTCCCCTCAAACTGGCGCCCTCCTGTGTGTGATAAGTGTGACGTAAAAAGTTATATTTTATGAACAATATTTACAGTGTTACAATAGCAAAAGTGTTACTTGTATTGACTATAGATCTGACATTGGCAAATTACGGCCCGCGGGTAATTCAATCTGGCCCTCATGATACAGCCACAACCGAACTAAAACTAATTTTGATGTTTTAACTAAAAAATAACACAAGAAATTTGTTGAGATTGCGATTAAATTTAGTTTTGGCACAAAGCTTATTGTTTTCCACGTCTTCTTTTGTAACACTGAAAATATTGTTCATAAACTGTAAATTTTTGCGTCACACTTACAAGCAAAAGGGTGGGCAAAACTTTTGGATTTGGCCTGCGAACCGTAGTTAGGCCACCCCTGATATATACCCAACTTGATAAGTGCAATAAAAATTTATTCTCCAAATGAAAATTCGACCACGCAAAATAGATGTTTAAAGACTACCTAAATCAAAACAGAATATTTTACGAGTTACGACATGCATGATATATTAAATATCACGTTGATCTATGTTAAATTCCTTGACATCATCATGCATATATATTAGGATTAGAGCATCACTCATTTTAAAGTAAAGAATGCAAAGTATATATATGCCTAGCAAAAGTAGAGGTTCAAAATATTAAATCAAAGTATGACACTGATACGACGGAATATTTGAGCGACTTTATATATTACGCCACTTCGGGAATGGCAACAAATAAATCACTTTCTCCAAACAGTCAACAATGGATGATTATTGTCTTTAAATTTACACATTTGATAATAATATGTGAATTCAATGAATATCACGTCTATTGTAGATTATTTATATGTAATATTTATAGTTTAACAAACTCAAAGTGTCATAATCTTAGTCAAGTACATCAACCATACGAATTGACAATCAGACGCCAAATGAGTTTTAGATAGGCATTAGTGAATTAATCGATTAAAATACAGAATTAAACTTTCATTTTGTTTCTGCATTGCAACAAAATTTTCGTCATATAGTAAAGTAACATTGTTAAATCGTAAAACCATGATTTGAGATGTAATTTGTTCCGGCAATTATCCATGCTTAATTCGATTTGGTCAGGTATTACAACGGATACTCGAAAGGTTGCTGCATTACTTCACAAATATGGCGCGATATCACTGTGGGATTATGCGACGGCAGGACCTCATATGGACATTCAAATGCACCCAGAGCCAATTGGAAAATATAACACTTCGAAAGATGCTGTGTTTATATCCATGCATAAATTTGTTGGGAGTCCAGATGCTCCAGGTACTGAAAAAATATTTGGGTATATGCATGAGTCATATTTGAATGAATTTAATCTAACAAAATCAAAGTGCTATTTCGCTGAAAGATTTTTTAAATTGTTGTGAACATGGAAAAACTGAATTATTGGTGTGGCCCAAATATATAAATGAAACATTGCACACCCCTGATTAACATACAATTTTTTCTGCAATATGTCGGTATGATGTCTATATCTCGAATCTTGTATAAACTCTATTTTTTTTTTATCTTAGATATGCTCGAAATTAGATTTTAATCTGTTATTAAAAATTCGGCACTCCGGAAGTATATGTGTACCAATATGGAGGTAACTAATTTCGTTCGCCTACTTAACATCAAGTTGTGTAAAGGGACGGAAGCCTATGTACAGGAGGTATATTCACTTGGCTGGCACAGACAGTCGCCGACTCGTACTGGAACTAAAATAAGGATAATCGAAATAAAATCACGGCCTAACCTGGTACACATACTACGGGAGTACCAAAAATTCTATATGATAACACCCCCATAAATATCGCAAGATAGTAATGAAATTTGGCCAATCTTCTGGCATAATTTGCGTCATGACATAAACTTTCTGAATATGCAGGTTTACTTATCGCATCGAAGCATCTATTTCGAAACGCCGTCCCTTCAAGATGCGGTGGCGGAACTGTTTTGTTCGTATCAGAAAACGGTCATCGCTATTTAAAAGACATTGAATCACAAGAAGAAGGTGGTACACCTGCAATCGTAGGCTCTATTAGAGCGGGATTAGCATTTAAGCTCAAAATGGTAAATAAGTAAACGTTTGCTATAATTGTATATGAAGTTTTTATCATTTATTTTTACATTTTTTCTCTTTTGTAATGGCCTGTGATGATATAACAGATTTTAAACGTTGATGGTTTTTATGTTTTAGTCGGTGGGATGCGACGTTATCATGAAGCGTGAAACTGAACTTTATGCAAGAGCAATGGAAGTGTGGAAAGATATACCAGAACTGGAGATTCTTGGAATCCTGAACGAAAAATTATCAATACATATTCAAAATGAGCATAGACTTGCAGTTTTTTCTTTTCTAATAAGAAACGTTAATAGTGGATACTACCTACATTACAACTTTGTTGCCGCTTTACTGAACGACTTGTTTGGAATACAGGTACTGATACTGATAATACATATTGCTTCGTTATCATTCATTCGTATTCAGATATATTTTTTCCCTTTTTCATGTAGTCAAGAGGAGGTTGTGCTTGTGCTGGAGTATATGCTTTACATCTATTAGGAATTGATCGCGTAGCCGAGAAGAAATTCGAAGGAATTTTAATTGAAGATCCGTAAGTTTTACGTCATTTGTGCAAGGCGTCTGCCCACTGCAGTTATCTTCATCGTAATATAATAAATTAGATATTGATAGAAATTTCAAATCATTTTATATAACGAATGTTTTAGTGTTTACAAATCCAACGTTGTAAAAAATTAAATAAATCATTTGTGATAAATTACGATCCATTTAATTTAGAAAAATATCGATCTAACTGTTCACGATCAAGATATCAATCGTCAGAATATCGGATGTAGCTTTCAAAATACTTCAGATCAAATCGAAATAAATGTAGTGATAACTCATCATATAAAAATATCGGTTTTTAGGGAGAGAACAAAAACGCGTACGCGACATGACACTGAGAAGACAGAATATGAAGTATTGAGGCCAGGATTTACCCGTCTGAATTTCACTTATTTTTTGTGCGACGAAGATGCTGATTTTATCATAAGTGCTGTATCAATGATAGCAAAGCTCGGCTGGACATTGTTACCTCAATATCAGTGTGGTGTACGTTCTGGGGAGTGGAAACATACTGAGTACATCGATGTAAGTACCAAAGGGTGAAATGAACTGGAGTTTACCTCAAAACAACAACTAGTGCTATAAGCAATTAGATTTTTATTTGGCTTGTAAAAGTTTTATTTATCATTTTTAAGGAACTTTCGTGCAAAAAGCTTGACGATCTATCTTTTCGTCCCAATGGCTTACACTCTTCTCAAGACCGACAGCCACTTACAATAAAAAAAGGATTACCAACTTCTCGAATAGACTGCTTGAAACGAGCTGAAAGAATATTTTTTAATGCCAAGCAGGTATGAAAACAAATTTTACCACTTCAGTTTTGATAATAAGACTCAGGAATTGCTAAATATGTAATATAACAAAATGCACTAAAACATTTTATAGAATTTGATTTGTGTTAATACTGCAGTTCAATATATTTCATGTTATGGTTTAATTTGTTTCTCCTAGATTGTCGGTAAGGACGTCGAAGACCAAAGACCAAAATACGAAAATTCTAGTGTTCGAGATATGAGATGGTTTATGCTCCCTTATGAAGCACAATGCATATTGAAGGGCAAAAAAATTGATAAAAAATCAAAACTCATCTTTCGCACGAGAAGAAAATTTACGCAACTAACAGAAGAAGAAATTGAGAAAAATGTATCGAATAATGTTCCTCTTTGTCAGCGTAATGGAATAATTAATCCAAACCTAATTTCTGACAGCAATAAAATTATAGGCCAGACAGTAAACAGTTTGAAACATGACGAAAATGCTAATCCAAGATATAGCATAAACGAAATAGGGTCGAATAATAATGTTACAAAGTCAGAGAAAAGGGCATTTGAAAAGTTTTGGAGCGCATTGACTTGCAAAAGTAAAACATCTGTTGATATCATACAATAATGAATCCTTTTTATTCTCGCTAAATTTTTCCGAAAGTCATAAATTAGGAAATAAGTAAAATAATTTTTAATCTAGCTTTTTGATTTGATTTTCAATTTAATTGATGGAGTCATTGAACGAATTACATTGTAAACTTTATTAAGTTTTGAAATTTATTTTAATCGAATGAACAATATTATTTCAATATATTAATTTTTATATTCTTCAACAATTGACGACAGAGCTGCTCTCTCTTAATATCTCTCGTGCGCACTACGCCGGCGTGATTTTGTTACTCACGCTTTTTTGAGGTGTTATTTGTTCAAAATGCGGGAAGAACGGTTGTGCCCTCAGTTGCAGGCAGTTTTACACTTGTGTATTGTTTTTGAGATTGCCGGCATTGCAAGTGAGAAGGTATAGAAAACTAATTTGCGTACATTTTTGCAGGTTTATTGTGTATTTTTAAAGCGTTATCTTGACGAATGTATACTTTGCAAAGCGTACCGGTACAACATTATGATGAAAAGGAAATTCCCTGTTTGGCGCCATTTTACTCCCCCAGCTAAAGACGATGACGAACGCCAGTACGTCGTGTGCAAGAGCAAACTTAGTTACCATGCTACCACCAGTAATCTTTTAGCCCCCATCAAAAGAAGGCATGTAGGCTAAATATAAGTTGGAACTCTAATATTCAAGGTGATTTGAATGAGACTTCCAGTAAACAGACCAAATTGAAACTTATTCATCCCATTCTCCCTGCTCGGTGGGAAAAAATTACTTCTTTAGTTGTCGATTTCATTGTGAAAGATATACGTCCCCTCAGCACAATAGAAGAAACGCATTTCAAGCGCCTAATGGGACTGTCATCCAGGAGGACCATAATATGACGTGTAGAGGAAGAATATTGTGAAAAAAAATGGAGCTTAAGAGAGTTCTCAAAAACGTTAAGCATATAAGCTTAACAGCTTTGTTTAAACAAAGGATTAGCAGTGAGCGGCATAGAAAAACCTCTTGCAGCAACTCAACGACTAGTGTAACATTTTTGAGGAGGAGTGAATTGGCTACCAGTGCACTGGGGAGAAAGTGTGAGGAAATGAAGCTTACCTCCAAAAGACTCATAATAGATGTATCCACAAGATGGAACAGTACTTACAACATGCTTGAAGGTTGCAGGAATTGCAATGACCAATTTTGGCTATCCTTGAAAACAAAGATATCACAAATGCCACCAAAGCCTCAGCTCTCACAATCAAGCCTGGCGACTGGGAGCTGTTCAAACAGTTGATTCCAGTACTTGAACCTTTTGCAGAGGCTACTTTTAGGAGGCGAAAAATAGGTCTCAATATCAATTAAGAATCCATACATCGAAGAATTGAAAAAACATCTTTCACGCGAAAAAGATGATGAACTTTTGGTAATCGGGCAGTTTAGATGAAAGGGTAACAGCGAAATGGAGGATCTGGACCCCATATACAAACTGCGTGGACTTCGTACTGTGGAGTCTTTTTAGGTAACTTGTTATTACTTATCGATTTTAATCGGTAAGTATGTTGATAGATATTTGTCTGTCTGTATGTCTGTTAGATGCACGCGATATCTCACGAAAGCAAGATTGAATCTGCTTCAGATTTTGCATGTGCATTCATCTTATCTCGGACCAGAAGCCTATTGATTTTGGGCGAATTTTGTCGTATAATTAGAGAGTTATGAATTAATTAGTGATGGGACACAAGGTGTCACTATGGAGTAAAATCGCTGTTTTGGGGGATCCCCTAACTTTCGATCGATAAGTCTTCGGTCTCTGACCGATATTCTCATTTTATTTCTTCCTGAGTAGGATTTTTATCTTGATAACAAAATGGCCCTACATTATAAACACCATAGTATGTTTATTAGGATTAGGATGAGGTCAAGTTCAGTTTTCCAGTATCTTCATATTCCAAATGCATTTACATGATTAGACAAAATTCATGACATATCTCCATCCACCATGTCTTAAGATATGAAGTCGACTTTTTTACAACTATTTATCTAACCGTATAATAAACATCAGAGTAAACAACGGACTTAATATCCTGTCTGATGCCAATTTTGTTCTCTAAAATCACAAATTCCAGAAGAAAACTAATCCAAAATATTCATTCAATCGAAACTTATCGTTTATCGAATGCACTAAATTTCGAATTTATTCAAATATTGATTGTTTTGGCAATCTCTGTATCCTAGATAATCAGTCTTGGATGATTCGCCTTTACTTGGTGGAAAGAGCAAAATGCTGAATATCCAAACTTGAGCAACCTTCTATCCAATTAAAGAGTCCAGCTGCATACTCAAATTTGAGCAAGCTTGTTGGCAAATATATGTGTGTGACGGCAACATCAACCCCAAGTGAGCGATTATTTTCTGCAGCTGGAAACACTGCCACTGAGCTCAGATCAAGCCTCACCGGGTCACATGTGGAAGCCCTCGTAATTCTAAAATGCAATTCTGACATATGACTCTTTCCTTACCAGCGACTTATTGATCGAACATGTTTTTTACAATATTTGACAACCTAGCGAATGATTTTGTGTGTTTCAAGATTTGCTGTATTGCAATAAAAAAAGTAACATGCAATTTTTCACTCGCTAATTTGTTAAATTTTTCTCAAGTATGAAGTTGTACAGCGTATGCTAGTTAGAGATAATTGCTAACTTACTGTTATTAATTGATTTGAAAAGAAATATAAGCGATTAGGGAAGAGCATACAAGAGAGAAGTGCAAATAACGAACTATTCGTGTATTTCTTTGAAAATTGCAAAATATAAACCCAATGTACAATCTCTATCAGTATTGTTTTTAATTTTGGTCGGCACGCGGAAGAATTCTGTCATTAAATTTAGCCGATTTTGGCACGCGAGCTGAAAAAGGTTGCCTACCCCTGGGTTAGATCGATCCAGTATTACAGTTTATCGAAATGAACTCGGCAAGAAGAAGAAAACAGTGCTCTCTATATGCGAAACGCCATGCAAAGCTTTTTTATATTGTTGGAATTGCTGTTTCTCGGAAAAGGGATATGACTTTGACTCTGCCTTGCCGCACATCTTAAACAAGTATGAGTCATTAGGCATGTCGTCTAATGCCGGGATGGAAGCCGTGCAACATGAAAAGAACATGTTAGAAACATACGGCATCTAAATATCTGTTATATATGGTAAACTTGAAGTTGAAAAAAAAAATCACAGCCATGGTCTTTGGAGGCGTTCCGCTTTGGGGGTCACAAAAATATGGTTACCCTACCCATGGCTGCTGATGCATCTAAAGCATTCTGCAAGTTCTGTAAATGTGAAGTCAAAGCAAAATATTAAGACTTAAAGCAGCATACTAAAAGCCAGAAACATTTGAAAGCTTGTCCATTCACTACCAGGACTCTTGATTCATTTATGACTCTTAAAAACAGCAGAGCTGGAAGCATCTATTTCCACATTTTTATGTTGCCACTCAGCTATTTTTTATTGTGACCAGTTAGTTGATTTAGGTAAAAGAAATCTCCCTACAAACAAAACAGTGTCCGAAATGAAAATGCACCGAACTAAATGTAACCATATCATAAAAAATACTCTTTGTGAGCATTTGAAACAGACCTAAGACAAGATATTGGTGATGGCAGATTTAGCATCCTAATAGATGAGTCCACAGATATAACTGTGCATAAATTACTAGGCATATCTATAGTTCATTACAGCATGTCTAAAAAAATGATTGTGTCAACATTGTGGAGGCAACAAGCTTTCGTTTTTTCATTGAAAATGTAACTTTGGCATGTTTGGATTATTATTTTTTGAATTTAGAATATTTTTTGTTAAGATTCTAGATTATTTTATCTTTGAACAGTTGGCAACCCTGTACATGAACCTAACATACCTTCTATAGTGAACAATTCTACTGTATTTCAAATTTTGGTTCCATTACATTTGAACACACCTACATTTGAACCCACGACAATTGCACCTGCATACTATTGCACCTATATGGAAATTCGCATCTACGGGTATTTGAACCCATACTAACCTTAACCCATGGATTTTAGCAACCGCCTATAGATTGAACCCGCGGATATACGGGTGCAAATGTACGTGGGTTCAAACGTGCTGTCACCCAAATTTCGGATATCGACGCTAAGAATTTAGAAATGGAGGAACAGAATGATTTAAAATTGTCCACATGCGATCGGCCGATGGATCAGAAGCCTAATTTGTCTGGTACACAATCACAATCTTTTTTGGCAAAAGTAGAAGAAAAGGTGCAACTGGGGATGAATGATGGAACGACAGAAATGGAAAAAGAGGAGACGGTAATTGAAGACAAATATGGTGTTCCTCTTCCGTATGAAGAATTTTTTAGGTTTGCAAGACTGCAAAAAAATTTTGATGCTGCAAACTCCAACCACCAACTAAAGTCCAAAATGGACATAAAAGAAGTTCTTTGATGATTGCGGAGCATGGTGTTATACAAATTTTACTGTTACATATTATCAACGCGTTGAAAAAAGGCAAGTTTTGTAATAGAATAAGAAATGGAAAGCAGAGAATTTTCGAACCGATATCTCCTCAGTCATATGCGGATTCTCTTTTAAAATTGGTGAGATATTATTTTGTTAGCAAGATTTCTCCCGATTATTTACGTTGTGTTACTTGGATAGAATCGTCTGACTTGAATACATACCCTCCAATAGCACGCATTGAGTATAAAGGACATTTTTGCGGTGTTCCACCACACGGAAATGCTCAAGATAAAAGCCACAAATACGTTAGAACGTCTTCGCAAACGTAGGAAATAATTCAGCAGCGGGCTCCATATGGAAGCGCAAAAAAATTTACACCGACCTTCAAAACGAGAATACAAGTTTAATAACCGTCACAAAAAATGAGCATCTACAGAGTAAAATGGCCATAAAAAGTGCCTAACAACTAACTATACAGGATAATCAGCACGGCGACTTACAATATGTTTTAGATTCGATTATCTCAGCTTTGCCAGGAAAGATCACAATAATTTAATATTTACCAAACAATGACTAAGCGTAGAGAAGTTTAATGACTAATTCGTTTTAATACAGATTTTGCAAGCCGGAATCCACTAGATATGCTCATTACTAGGGCTGGGAATGGTTAACCGATTTTAGATGGTTAACGGTTACGATTTATTTTAACCGTTAACTGACATCTCAGGTTTAAATCATCTTTAAAATGTACAATTCTTTAAAAAATGATTACGCCATCTCAAATTCTTTTTCTGTGACGTTTAATTCAAAAGAATATTGCTAACTGTATTGGTGCGGACCTAATAAATGTGAAAAATAATTGAAGTACCAAGATTGCTGATTATGAAAATTTGACAATAATTAATATGAATCAGTTTTCGGTCGAAATATATTGTTCACGGTTTTATTTTAAAATCGTATATTCAATGTCAACCAACAACTGCGTAGTTGATGCTGTTTTTCTCTACACATCTCAAAGTAGAATTTGGACATCAAACACTGAAAATTTGGCAGCTAAATGACATTCAATAACGGAATCGGGTTTTACTAAAATACTTCCATATGTTCTACCCACGCTGCATATCTCTTGCAGCAGAGCGATAACGAAACTATCTCGATTCGTGAATAATTTTGAGCGATACCGGGATAAGGTTACGCGAAATAGCTTTGTAACCATTGTGACGTAACAAGCTAAAATTATAAATTATTAACGTCACGCTGCGGTTAATTTTACCTGGTTAACGGTTAAGGTCTTTTCCCTGGAATTCCCAGCCCTACTCATTACACATACTTGCATCGTTTGACAAAATTATTATAAAATCCTACTATGTGCAATACCCAAGTTTGACTCTATTTTTTGAAATAGGCAAATTCCAAGAACCATACTAGAGATATTTCACAGGTCACATGATCATAGACATAGTGTTTTCTGAACAAATAACTGTTGTTTTAATTTTTTCTTTGTCGATTCTCGATGTTGAACTTGCATCACGTTTTTCCATTCGCGTTGAGCCCAATGACCCACCGGAATGGCATGTTTTGATGAATAGCGTGATCACCTTTTTTTCACATGGCAGAAGATAAGGTAATCATATACACGAAAACGAATATTGTGTGAATAACCTTGTTTGTGCAAGCGCATTGACAACATGCTTGTTAGTAGCGCCTAGCGGTATTGGAATTCTTAGGCATCTTCAACAATTCCCTGCCCTGAAAAATTTGGAGGTCGTAGCCAAGGAGTGCTCCGTCAGCAAGTTTTTATGAGAATGTTTATGTCGCAAGAAAAAAGGCTGATCACGTAATACTTGCCCAAATTCAAAAACTGGTCAATATTATTTAGCTATCGAAGTAGTTTAAGTGTCATTGTATACATTCATCAAGGTTTTCAGTGTATTGTCATTTACTATAACTTAGAATATATCAATTTAATTGTGGAACTATATATATATATATACATATACAGGGTGGTCACGGCTACTTATTTTTACAAGAATTAAATTTACAAAGTTTTGTTAGGGCATATGTTACATTACACTCGCAGATGATTAAAATGGTTCCGTTACATTTGAACCCACGTACATTTGAACCCATGACAATTGAACCTGTATGCTATTGCACATATGAAATTTTTTTTGTTTCACGGATAGTTAAACCCATACTAACCCTAACCCATGGGTTTTAGCACCCGCATATAGATTGAACCCGTGGATAGACGCATGAGTTCAAATGTACATGGGTTCAAATGTACGTGTACTTCAGAGCAGTGTCTTAACCTAGAAGTTCAATCTCGTTTAGCGTTTCGAAAGTTAATTTGTGGAATATCGTTCCAATATAACCTAAACATATACGCATTTTATTCGTGATCCCATGTGACCTTCAAATTTTCGTATATAAATACACGGAAAACATAACAAGTTGCTTTTTATATCGACCCTGTAAGAGTTAGATCACTAATCGGTATCAACATATATTTCAATGTAAATTTTATTAACGGACAAACTGTTACAAATACTTTTATTCTAGCCTCTTTTTTGACATTTTCAACTTTTTAAGTATGTAATTCTTACAAATATCGGAGTATAAAAGCAGACTTCTTGTATATTATGAACATTATTGGAAGATAACTCGCTGCTATAAGTTCGCTACTTGTTTCCTGTCATTTTCCGATTTTCCGCCCCAAGTAGCCATGGGACCATATATCGGGAATTTTCTGTATCTATCAGACTTTAAATATTCGGAGATCGGTTTCATGGATTCGAATTCATCCATGAATCGTTGAATACCGGGTGATTTGTCAAAAATATCAGTGAAGAAAAGACGGTGGTGATTAAAAGTTTCGTACAAAGCAAAATCAAGGAAACTCAAATCATCTTCGAGCAGAAATTTCCGATCTGTAAAATATTTTTCCATCATATCTATCTTTGCCGTCTGATTCTTACGGATCTCATCAATTTTATCATAGAGGTCAACATTATACATGCTTCTAGCAAATGCCGATCTGATGTCATTAATGACGCCTTGAAGCATATCTGCCTGGCGTTGATTTTCATCTGATGATGGAAATAGATTCAACTTTTTCCCTAGATATCTGGAAAAGGAGTATGATGATTACTCGACAAAATTTTTGGACACGTAGTGGACATAACGATCGTTTCAAAAATTTCTATTGTTATTATTATTTGTCTCCATCATTTTAAAAAAAATCGCTTTTCTCTTCGAATACTGGACCAATTGCTTTGGAATTTTCAGTGGTTGAAGATAAATTTTTTTCCCAGAAGGCTATTACTTTTATTCATTTTAAATATTTCTGTTAGCTCTGTGAGATTTGTTTTTGTTTACTATGACGTCTTTAAACGTTCCGCGACATCGGACGCCATTTTGTGTCCTACTGTACTGCTTCGCTTGGTGTGAATATATTTGTAGACTGTGATCTGACGGTACGGTAAACCGTACTGTACTGCGAACAGACGTGTCCATATATTTGGGCGTAGCTCTCTTGTTTTCTGTACCATGCGTATTTGTCTACTCTGCATATTATAAATAGAAATGAGTTCGGTAAACTCACATCTTACGTAAAATTTTTACAGACCTGTAAATTGCCCAACTCTCGGTAAGCTTTATGTCTCCATCAATTAGGTACGGCAAGTTTGGGAAATCCATTCCCAAACAGAACTTCTCAGCAAACCATGTTTTTGCCTCTGCTATTTTTAACCTTCTATCTTCATATTCCATGCCACCGTACTCCAAAATCATCCTTGCAGGCTCGCAGATACCTCTCAAGTCCCAGTAGACTAGAACAAGATTACTCATTTTAAATGTATACGGTAGTTATATTTTACTTACTACAAAATAAAGTGCCGTTAAAATCCGTCTACTTTGTTTCCACTGGCTATGAACAGAAGAATTTTGCTAGGAAATAGAGAAAATTTCCCTTAAATATTCCATTATACGTGAACGAATACAATATAATGTTGAGAGGCATTGGTACTGCAGCGCTGTGGATTAGTCGAATATTCTTTCCCAAAATCTATTTAAAATTCGGAACAATATTCTGACATCTCTCTGTATAAATTGAGGGAATACAGTATATACATGTACTTCGATCGATACACGTGTAATTGAAGACACATTTGGCGCATGACGAACGAAGCAAATTTCCTGTTACTGTCTGACACGCATTTGTTGGCTGTAACACACGACTTGAATCATCTATCGCCTGGTTTAGTTCAAGGCGAAAACCATCTAACCTTCTTCTTAAAAAGGGTTAAGTTCTGAACTGAAATACGCATGGTTGACTGCTCTGATCATGTTCGAGGATGTATGGGTGTGGGCCAAATATTAACCACGGTTATCAACATCTGGTATTGCGTGAGAATATTGTCATTGAGATTTTGTACTATATGAGCTGCTTGGGTGTCCAAGTGAATAGATTTCCTCAAATTCGCATAAAAATACATGTGGCAAAACCATGACCATTTTTAATGGAAGTTTTCAGCCAAAATTCTACATAGATACATGAAACACAAACTGAAAAATGGTTTTGTCTCTAACTGGATCCATCTATCAAAACCGGTACCGTAGTTTGACTTGATATAGCCATGTTTATAGCCGCACCAGTCTGAACACATATATTTTCCGGTGATCGTACATTTGAACTTATGTGTATATCCGCGGGTTCAATCTATATGCGGGTGCTAAAACCCATGGGGAAGGGTTAGTATGGGTTCAAATATCCGTAAAACAAAAAAAAATTCCATAGGTGCAATAGTATGTAGGTGCAATTGTCGTGGGTTCAAATGTAATGAAACCATATTTTCCAGTTTTTCGATATAGGTGGTATGTCAGGATACTCTAATACAGTGGTTCCCAAACTTTTTGTACCATCGCCTCCCTAAAGTAGTTTATACAACTTCATCGCCCCCCAGCACTACAAAAAAAATTAAAGTCAGAAACGAATATATTACGGAGCAAATAGGAAGACAGATCATATTTTATAGTCTTTTTTAATAAGATGGATGAGCTTGGTGTTCTTCAGCGGGTTTTATTACTTATCGATTTTAATCGGTAAGCATGTTCATAGGTATTTGTCTGTCTGTCTGTTAGATGCACGCGATATATCACGAAAGCGAGATTGAATCTGCTCCAGATTTTGCATGTGCAATCATCATATGTCGGACCAGAAGCCCATTGATTTTGGATGGATTATGTCGTATAATTAGCGAGTTATTAATTAATTAGTGATGGGACAAAAGGTGTCACTAAGGAGTAAGAGCGCTGTTTTGGGGGATCCCCTAACTTTCCATCGATAAGTCTTCGGTCTCTGACCGATATTCTCGTTTATTATTTGGTGACATTTTTGTCAGACACAATCTAAAATCACCCCGTTTACTGATAAAAAGGCGATTTCGTTGTTTTGATAGCAATAGTAGCACGGCTGAAATCCCCTTTTTACCATAAAAGAGGTCGGAAATGAAAGAATCCAGGGTTCCACCTCCTCAAAAACCGCCGTGTAGTTGCCTTATGACATTTAACTCCCTAAATTCACTCCATTTCACATTAAAATAATGAAAACAAAGTTAATTTTCCCAAACTTTTAATAATGATTTTCGTACATCTCATTCATCCCTACAGCCTGATGACCTGCACCAAAATACATGATATATAACGATCTTCGTTAAAATTCATCCTCGATTTCTCATCCTACCACGTCCTCCAGTTCAATAACCAATCCCTATAATTAATTAGCCATTTGCTTTAGATTCATGGACTCGGATGTGGAAAAAGCCGTGACCGACTATCGGCTACGGCCCGGGGGTCGGCAAATTTTATGTCGCTCGCGGGACAAAATTAAGGGTTGATAGTCTTTTGCGGGTCGCATATATTTTTTAAAGATTAAAAACGGAACAGCGCGCTAAAACTGCGACAATTCAACTCAGTCGTCTTATTAAAAAATGATTACAATGACATTTGATGTGACATTGTCTTGTTGCTGCACCACGCTTTATAGCAGGGGTGGGCAACTTTTCTAGTCGGCGGGCCGGATGTTGGAAAATGAAGTCCTCGGCGGGCCAGATTCTTACAAAAAATACTTTGGTATCCAATCTTTGTTAAATGCTCGACACTCTCTGTCAACTTTACTTTTCTTGGGATATTCCATGGTTAATAAAACTTAATATGGAATCTAATTTCTAAAATCTAATTATATTTAAAATCTAAACTGATAACAGTAGTGGGGAATGTTTACAGCGCTCTCTGCTCTGAACTTATATTGTTTGTTCAACAAGTGTGCTAACGCAATTGTTTGTTCACTAAAGCAATTGTTTATTTCACCAGCAAGCACTGACAGTGCGGTGAGAATAGAGCGATCGGCAACTTTCAGGAATGATGCGTCGGACCACATAACAGTGTGGTTGGATACAGTCAGCGGGCCGGTCAAAATCTCTTCGCGGGCCGGATCCGGCCCGCGGGCCGTATGTTGCCCGCCCCTGCTTTATAGCATTACGGCGCCAAGGAACAATTTCTAAATGGGCATCACTAATCCTAGTTCTTTGCCTGCTCTTTGTAATGTTCATTTTCGAAAATAGTTTTTCGCACAAACATGTACTTCCAAACATCTTAGTGAATATTTTCGCATGGTTTGTGAAATTTTGATAAAGATTTTCCTCAAGAAGTTATATTATTACAAAAATTAAGCAGTGATGAATCTCTCGAATAGAATATGAATTTTATTTCCTTATTGCATTGCAATATATTTGAATATTTACTGCGATATTAAACCCCTTCACTCAGCCTCAACTTTTCTGCGTGCTGCCACTTTTTGTCTAATTATAATTGAATTGTAGGCTCGTTAAACGAGCAGCTGTTCACTAAATTTTTAGGATATGATATAATTTAGTCTAAACGTGTCTCACGATAAATTCTGTTAGGTAAAAAATGTAATTTACTCCTTGAGCGTAGATTATAAATAAAATCAATTCATCGTCAAAACGCCGTTTTGTCTGTATATTGGATGTTTCCCCGGGCATAGACTTCCTTGTTTACTTCGTGACATTGGCCAATCAGCAAGATGCAAAAATGAACGTAAGAATGCCCCATTTCGCATCCGCTCAGACGCTTTTCTCGCTCAGACAGATTTTCATGCGTGGTCGTAAACATTACCTCAATTTCTCGTTTTTTTTGAATTATATTCGTTTGTTTTTAGTTTTGTTTCGGAAATTTAAATAAAAATCAAATAATTAAATGATCACTTTGTCTGCCTAGGAGTTTCAGTTTAATTGCAGTAATCAAAAATTACAGTAGAAATAGCTGTGATAAACTAGGCTAAAATTCTTTACCGGTAATTTTAAAAAACAGATTGTTGAATGATATGAATTAGAATGATAGTTTGAAATACCCCATTTTACAGGCAACAACTCGCGAAACCACTCCTAAAATAAGCACCGAAAATTTTAAAATGGTAAAATATAGGAAGAATTTTCCGGGGTCAAAGGTCGGGGAAAGATCCAATCAGTGAATCGTCCCTGGCCAGATTATTTTACTCCGGCCGTATTTTGCCGACCACTGGGATACGCAAAGTACCGTGCCTTACGGCGGAGACGAGTCCTCTCGCGTATGATATTTCCCACATGATTCATACCTACGAAAGCACGCAGAGTAAAGTAATCAAGTGCACGATGCGCCGAACAAAACCAGGTTTTGCGAAATCGCCCCCCTATCGCCCCCTTCGACTTTTCGCCCCCCTCTGTATCGTTTTCGCCCACCGGGGGGCGATATCGCCCACTTTGGGAATCACTGCTCTAATAGGCGGTTGTTCCCTCATACCCAACGACTAACAAACCGGTCATACTCATGTCCTCCTGACAACTATACTACTTAGTTCCTAGCTAAATTGATATTAAATACAACATTTGCATTTATCTGTCAAGCAATAAAATAACGAAAAAAAATATGTTAACTCCATAAACCGCAACAACAATAATACAAAAATATTTCTCAACATTTGTGTTAATTTTATAACCGTTACAAAAAAATGTGCATCTACGGTGTGAAATGGCCATAAAAAGTGCCTAACAACTAACTATACAGGATAATCAGCACGACGAATATGCGTCTTGCAATATGTTTTTGATTCGATTATCTCAGCTTAACCAGAAAAGATCACAGTAATTTGATATTTACCAAACAATGACTAAATGTAGAGAAGTTCAATGACTAATTCGTTTTAATACAGATTTTGCAAGCCGGAATCCACTAGATATGCTCATTACTAGAGCTGGGAATGGTTAACCGATTTAGATGGTTAACGGTTACGATTTATTTTAACCGTTAACTGACATCTCAGGTTTAAATCATCATTATAATGTACAATTCTTTAAAAAATGATTACGTTATCTCAAATCCTTTTCCCGTGGCGTTAAAGAATATTGCTAACTGTATTGATGAGGACCCAATAAATGTGAAAAATAATTGAAGTACCAACATTGCTGATTATGAAAATTTGACAATATTTAATATGAATCAGTTTTCGGTCGAAATATATTGTTCACGGTTTTATTTTAAAATCGTATATTCAATGTCAACCAACAAGTGCGTAGTTGATGCTGTTTTTCTCTATATATCTCAAAGTAGAATTTGGACATCAAACACTGAAAATTTGGCAGATAAATGACATTTAATAACGGAATCGGGTTTTACTAAAATACTTCCATATGTCCTACCCACGCTGCATATCTCTTTCAGCAGAGCGATCACAAAACTATCTCGATTCGTGGATAATTTTAAGCGATACCGGGATAAGATCACGCGAAATAGCTTTGTAACCCTTGTGACGTAACAAGCTAAAATCATTATGTGAAACGTCAC